ACAGGAGAATCTGAATAGCAAAAATAAATGTTGCCTGAACAATGCGAAAGGCCTCCTAATCCATGGATCTTCAGGTGGCTGAATCTCCCAGGGAAACCTTCACAGACTTCATCACAGGAGCAAAACTGTAGCTACCCCATGGTTCTACCCAGTTATCACCTGCTCTACTGGGTGGGATCCTGCTTGCACGTTAGGGATGGGTATCCAAAGTCTGTGCAGAGTAATTCCACATCCTAGCTGCCATGGTGAATGCTGGGGGCGGCCACCATTTCTCACTCTACACATTGCTGAGCAGCTTCCCAAACACTGAAGGCAGAGAGGGCTGAACCACAAGTGTAAGCTGGCACAAGCATAGGCTACAGAGGCTCATAATTTCTAATGAAGGAAGGAAACAGACCTTTGCCACTAATGCACAGCCCTCTGCCTTCTGACTGAAAAAAACAAGCCCTCTATCTGCAGGAAATGCAGCAGCATATGTACCAGCAAACCCCCTCCTGCAGTGGCTCCCCCCAGCCTGCTTTTATGTAGAGTTTTCTGTGCTTCATGAGCACAGAAGCTTGCTAATGCTGTTCTGAGCAGGCCTTGATGATAATTTAATTTGTGCTGAATATACTTTCCTAGACAGAACACCGCAAGCAGTAAAACACAGACAAGACTAAACTCCCTTCTATCTTTTTGATCAGAAAGAAGGCAGTATTCATTTTTTATCTTACTCTGAAGATATGACATGACATCCTGGAGGAAAAGCTGTCTTTACTGATTATTGCATAGCTGCATGAAATCTTGAGCAAGTCTGGTCCAGATTGATTCCAGCTGCCTTTGATACTCGTATAAGATGGAGACATTTTGGATTTCGTTACCTCATATACCTTCACGTGCAGGAGAAAGGTGCAGTTAGAGTGCTCCTCAGAGCTGGAGTGAGCTGAGCCAACCCCCTGCACCAACTCTGGCATGAATGCAGCCCAGAGTTAGCAATTTAATTCAATGTCATGCCTATAATCATGTGGGATAAATCTGGACCCTAATGCCTTTGCATTACTCAGCTATCTTGCAGTGAACTGCATAAGCCTCCTACCTTCAGGCTCAGAATGTGGAGGACGAGCAGGATGTGCATCTTCCTAGTCCTGTCTGGGCAGCTCTGTGCTCTGAACAGGGCTCTCCCAGGGCCTCTGGGGGCTGCCAGGGCAGCTCTCAGGTTCCTCCAGGTGCTCTGAGGCTCTTCCCAGGCTCTCCAGGGTTGTCCAGGTGCCTGTGGGGCTGCTCCAAATGCTCCTGGGCTCTTTCCAGCATTTCTGCGGGGACGTGTTGTTTACATGCCAAAAATGTCATTCACCCACACCCTTGTATTAAGCCAACAACCAGAGGCTATTTTATCTCCTGCAAAAGCCTTCATGATATTCTTCGTCTCCTGCTTACCTCCTCACCTGAGCCCATCTCAGAAACAGTTGGGTTATTGTTATCTGAACATAGATCCTGATACAGATACAAGTCATCATACTGTGGCTGTGTGTTACATGAGTTCCCAAACGGCACACAGAGTGCCAGCCCGGCGTGTTCTGTTTGTGTACAGAGAATTGAGGTCATCTGCTGCTTTCGCCTCACTCCACCCCCACATCAAGGCAACACTTTGCGACTGGCAGGGCTTGGGGAGCACAATTAGGAGCTGCTTTCAAGTTCTAGCTCCATTATGGAACAAGAAGCGCTAGGACCTACGGACCTCACTGGCATCCTAATGAAGGTGTGTAATCATAAGAAGGCCCTGCTTAAAACAGCAGCCACAGCAGGCCCTGTGGAAGCCACGGCCAACAGATGAGCAGTCTGTGCAAGAACGTGCAAATGAAGCCAGGTAATAAGGACAGTGCTGCAGAATGGGACAGGGCAAAGGTAAGCCAGGAGGAACTGATGCAGCTGGGGACGCTGGGCTGCCTAATGACAGGGCTGGAGCAGCAGGAGCTCAGGATGAAGGCTTGCCCTGCACAGCTCTGCCCCAGCCGCCATTCCAGCTCCAACCCAGGGAAAGCCACAGATCTGCTCCCTGCATCCATTTTAACATTGTAACGCTGGATAAAGAACCTAACAGGGCACCACTGCGTATTGACCCTGCCTTGGCACCGACCCGGGCCTGCATGCCACAGCCAGCACACACCTCAAGGCAACGGCCACCGCGGGCAGGGCGGTGAGGCAGGCAGCAACAAACGCGCTCAGCACTGCGCCCGCGCCCCAACCGACGCCCGGCGTGAGGCGCCGTTGCCATGATAACGGCCGCGCGGCCCCGCCGCCTCAGGCGGCTGCGCGCCAGAAAGTGCTAGAAAGGCGCTGCGGTCCGCGCATGCGCAGAGCGGCTCCCTGCCCCCACAGCGCTGCTGCGACAGCCCGGGGCCGGAGGAGGCGGCAGGTTTATTTGGAGGCGCCCCTTTATATGTGGCGGGAGGAGAGGTATGGGTTGCTCAGGACGCCGCAGGGAGCGGCCCAGCGAAGTTTCCACAGTACCTCTCCCCACCCGTCTGCGAGGCGGAGCTGCCGCCCACACTGCGCAAAGTGCGCACACAGCTTCGGGAATACGCGGCCGCACCGGCCACCGCCCCGAGCGTGCTGCGGAGTCATTGCGACGGTTACTAGGACACTTCGTTTTCGTCCAATCAAATGACGTTAGCTCATCCCTGAGGCCCGCAGCCAATCACGGCCGACATCAATCATTCAATTCAGCCAATGAGGAACGCTCTGAGCAAGTAGGGCGGGCGCGTGTGAGTCAGGGTTGCCTGACAGTAAAATCAACAGACAAACAGGCGGAGCCAACAGAAACCCATATTTGAGTGGCAGTGCCTGGACCAATCAGAACTCCATATTTTTAGAGCCTCGTTATGAGTACCCAATGCGCTGCCGCGGATGGCCGTCTGGGCGGGGAGAAGAGGCTGCGCGCGCATTCCGCTGCTATATAAGGTCTGGCGGCCCCCAGACGCCGTCAGTTGGGGGGAAGAGCGGTATTGGCTGGGCGGTCACTGCACTGAAGCCATCATGAGGGAGATCGTGCACCTGCAGGCCGGGCAGTGCGGCAACCAGATCGGGGCCAAGGTGCGGGCGGCGGGGCGGAGCAGGGGGCAACGCGGGGGCAGGGGAGCGGCCGGCCGGCCGGCCGGCGGGGTTCCGAGCACGCCGGCGCTGACGGGTTTTTCTCCGGCAGTTTTGGGAGGTGATCAGCGACGAACATGGCATCGACCCGACGGGCACGTACCACGGAGACAGCGACCTGCAGCTGGAGCGCATCAACGTGTATTACAACGAGGCCACAGGTACGGCCCCCGCGGCCCCCGGCCGGCCGCCGCCCCGCCCCGCGCTCACCGCCTCTCACTGTCTTTGCAGGCGGTAAATACGTGCCCCGCGCCGTGCTGGTGGACCTGGAGCCCGGCACCATGGACTCGGTGCGTTCGGGGCCCTTCGGTCAAATATTCAGGCCGGATAACTTCGTGTTCGGTGAGTGAGCGGGGGAGGGAGCCGAGCCGTGAGCGGGGTGGGCAGAGCCGGGCCGCACTGCGGGCTTCTCCGCCCCGGGAGGGGTTAATCCTGGTGTGGGGCCGAGCGGCGGAGAAACCGGCCGTGCGGCTGCCGGTACCGACGGCGGGAGGAGGAAAAGGGTCGGAGTGTGGCCGGGTGAGAGAGATTTGTGCCGAGTCATGTGCCGAGTGTGGCCGCAGCTTGGTGAGATGGAAGCTTTTGTGGGGGTTCTGCAGAGCCTTGATGCTCTTAAGCTTTGCTTGCGAGCAGGAAGCAGTGACCGTAACGTAATACGAAAATGGCTCTCTTCCAGGTCAGAGCGGAGCAGGAAACAACTGGGCAAAGGGCCACTATACTGAAGGTGCTGAATTAGTTGATTCCGTATTAGATGTTGTAAGAAAGGAGGCAGAAAGCTGTGATTGCCTGCAGGGCTTTCAGCTCACTCACTCTCTGGGGGGTGGCACTGGCTCTGGCATGGGCACTCTCCTCATCAGCAAAATTCGTGAAGAGTACCCAGACCGAATTATGAACACGTTCAGCGTCGTGCCCTCCCCCAAAGTATCAGACACTGTAGTAGAGCCCTACAACGCCACGCTGTCGGTGCACCAGCTCGTGGAGAACACAGATGAAACCTACTGCATTGATAACGAAGCTCTCTATGACATATGCTTCAGAACACTGAAGTTAACTACGCCAACATACGGTGATCTGAACCATTTAGTGTCAGCCACCATGAGCGGTGTCACCACCTGCCTGCGTTTCCCAGGCCAGCTTAATGCCGACCTGCGGAAGCTGGCGGTGAATATGGTTCCCTTCCCCCGCCTGCACTTTTTCATGCCTGGCTTTGCCCCCCTCACAAGCCGTGGCAGCCAGCAGTACCGTGCTCTGACCGTCCCAGAGCTCACGCAGCAGATGTTTGATGCCAAAAACATGATGGCTGCGTGTGACCCACGGCACGGCCGCTACCTGACCGTAGCTGCTGTTTTCAGAGGCCGTATGTCCATGAAAGAGGTAGATGAGCAAATGCTGAACGTCCAGAACAAAAATAGCAGTTACTTTGTTGAATGGATTCCTAATAACGTTAAAACAGCGGTCTGTGACATTCCACCTCGTGGCCTGAAAATGTCTGCCACGTTCATTGGTAACAGCACAGCCATCCAGGAGCTGTTCAAACGCATTTCCGAGCAGTTCACGGCCATGTTCCGCCGAAAGGCTTTCCTGCACTGGTACACAGGGGAGGGCATGGACGAGATGGAATTCACAGAGGCTGAGAGCAACATGAACGACCTGGTGTCTGAGTATCAGCAGTACCAGGACGCTACTGCTGAGGAGGAGGGGGAGTTTGAGGAGGAGGCTGAGGAGGAGGCAGAGTAAGAGCTATGCTGATGCCACCTGTAAATTTTGTTTAAAGCTGTATGAACTGTCATTCAGAACTTCTCTCTGTGTTGTGTTCCCTCTCTCGTCTTCAAGTCACTTCCAATGCTGTACAGGCACCATTAAAGCATTTTTCACAGTGCACAGGCTCGTCTCCTTTGTTCCATCTCGTAAGCCTTGCGGGTGCTGTTTGTAAAAGTAAGAGCGTAGGTGTCGCGGAGGTCTGGAAAAGAGAAGCCCAAGACACGGCCTGAGCAGCAGCGCTCAGCATGGCGGCCACGCTTCCCCTCCCTGTGGTGGTGGGCACCAGTTCATGTGGGATACAGCAATGGAGGGGAAAACCCTTAACATGCAGGATGAAATTCAGCTCTAAGCCGCATCTAAATTTAGGTACCTGCACATGGACTCCTATTACAGGTGCTGGGTCAGGCTTCAGCCTCGGAGAGCTGAGCAGCTCAGAAAAGAATAGAAACGCAGGCTGCTGTAAGCTGCAGCTCAGCGTCTGCCAGGGCAGTGGGATGGTGCCAGCAATTTGCCTTTCAGATGCAGGTGGGTGGTTCTGGAGGGAGGAACGCTGCCCTCGCCCAGGCTGCAGCTGTGCATTACAGCTCGTGGCAGCTGTGCTGCAGGGGAATTGCACCAACGAGCTCCAGCAATGCAGCCAAAGAGCGTTGTGGATTTGTTTTATTCTGTCGCAGGATAGCTGGACAGAAAATAGATAGGCTGCTCTCTCAGTTGCCTGAGAAAAGAAATGGTTGTAACTCATCTGGGGGTTTTCTGTCTTAAGGTTTCTCCTTCTAGAGTGAAAATAAGAGCTGAAATTGCCCTGAGCAGTGAAATGTGTCTGTGCAGAGAAGCAGGTGGCCAATTTCAAACCTACCCAGAAGCCCAATTCTGTAGGTGAAAAGAGTGAGAAGATTTTTAAAGCATGAGGTAACGCTTCGAGCAGTTGATTTTTGTCCCTGCTTTTAGGGTGCAGGGTTCTGTTCTGTTCTTTCTCCTCTTCATTATGCTGGAGTTCATACGCATCCCCAGCCAGACCTTGTGGCTGTTTGGTCACCATTCCCCCAGGGAGCTGTGCTGAGTGCTGGGGGCTTTTGGCAGAGGGTGAAGCACGCAGGTGAGCAGAACCATAGAACCCATAGAGTTGGAATGGACCTTTAAAGGTCACCGAGCCCAGCCCCCCTGCACTGAGCACACTGGAATGCATTGCCTTCCCCCCCAACACTTCAGGAGCTGCCTCTGCTCTGACACTGCAGCTACCAGCAGCACTACGTAATGCAGCACTACGTAGCGATGGTCATTAATCAGTGTTGGTGACTTTCATTTTTGCTCAGCTGATGAACTTACGTGGGACAAAGCCTGTGTAGGCTGGTATCAGTCCAGCGCTGGTGTAGATGTTGCTGCCAGGCCAGTATGTCTGGGGAAATCTCTTGCCAAAGCTGTGAATTGGGTTCCTCTCCAGAAGCTGGAAAAGAATAAACAGCACCCTTTGTTGTAAAACACGCTGCTACAGAGCTGTGCGCTTTGAATCCTTATTAAAGGCAGCACTCAAAGTAACGAAAAGCAGTTCTCTCACCACAGTTCCATTTTCTCCTAAGTTACACTGCAGCTTCCCCTCCCCTCCCTGAAGTTATGGGCTCTGGCAGAGGCCCCACAGACCTCACACTGCAGCTCTGCAGTTGGCATCGGCTCCAAAGCCCGGATGCCTTCTGCTCAGGATGGTGATGTGCTGAGACCCATCGGCTCCTGCTGCACCTCATGCTGTGACTCTGCACATCTGTTTGCTGTCACCCCTGTAACAGCTTCCGCTTTTCCTTGGTGGTGATTAACACCTAATTCCCAGCCTGGGAGGAAGAGGAAGGCTTAGGATGTGTGAGCGGAAGGGAGAGCGTAAATCAGCCTCTGGCACCTGCTGTGAGGTCACACAGAGCAGGGACTGCGCGGCAGGACCCCCAAAAGTCTGCACTGCCTGGCAGGGGGAAGGGCCCCACGGAGCCCCACGCAGTGCTGGCCCTCCTGCTGCCCTCCCAGAGCAGCACTGAAGCGAGAGGATTGCACTGTTCTGCCTGATGCAGCCAGCAAGAAATGATCCGCAGCATCTCAGCACGTAACCTGGGGCAACAGAGATTTAGGGCAGCAGATTAGAGGCTCCAAGGCTGAAGCCATCTTAGACAGAAATTTGGTGTGATTTCTTTTTTTTTCCTCATCCCTTCAGCTCCTCATGTGCTGCAAATAATCTCTGCAAGCCTGAGCGCTGCTGGTCCTTGTAATGGGGAGCAGCATCCAGTCCCCAAGCAGGGGCTTCCTCGTGAGTGAGGGGCAGGGCAGGCTGACAAGCAGCACAGTGTGTTGTGGCCACATCCAATCTGGAAGCACGGAGGAATCTGTTAACCACAGTGGGAAGGAGCTCGTTTCTCAGGTAGGAGGATTATACAGCGTGGTACAGAGGAGTGCTACAGTGAGAGGATGAAATGGGAGCTTTACAGTATGGGTGTTTCTCCTCTTTTGGGGAAGGGTGTAGAAATCAGGTGTCCATCTTTTGGAGACCAGCAATGCTAGTAAAGGAAAAAACCTCCATCACCATCCTGGTGTGAAGGACGCATTGCATAAGGGCGTCCTGCACCCACAGCTACGTTTTTCACAGCCTCCCATGAACCTTAATCCTTTTATGAACTCATTTATCCTCCCTTAGTGTCCCAAGGAAACAAGTTACAGAATTTAATTGCTCGCCATTTTTTCCAGCACGTTACCCAGTGGTGTTTTTTTGCTTGCACTGATACCCCCAGTCCTGCTGCAAACAAAACTGCTGCTGGGCGTGCAGGTGAGAGGACATGGCTGCAACCAGCCTCGTGTGCACCCTACCTGCTGTCTGTCAAATTCAGCCATGGCTTCCTTCACACCCTGCAGGTAATTTGTGCCCAGGGCCCACGTGAATCGTGGTATGAATCCAGCGTACCCTGTGGATGGAGATGGAACACACGCTGTGCAAGGCTCAGCCAGGCTGGGAGCAGAAGCTGCTGCAATAAATACAAGATCTTGGCAGAGCATAGGAAGGAAATACTTAATTCAAATCCATCCGTTTGAATTGGATGTCAGAGGTGAGATTTATTCCAAACGCCCTTTTGCTTTTTACCATCTTCCCCCTCTACCTGGGATGACCTTCTGCTGGATCACTCTGGGCACATCCAGCCTGGGGAGCCGCCAATCCACGGCTGCTGGCAGCGTCACACCTTCGGCTCTCACGGGCTCAAAATAAAAGCAGAAATGTAAGACATGGCTGGTAAAACCTGCTCCCCTCCACCTCCATCACCGCCAAAACCTGTTCATCCCAACCGCCATTGCCACGTTGTCCTGCTGTTCCATAGAGCTGCTCCAGAATTTCTAAGGCCAAACGAGCGGGTGAGACCTGCAGGGCTGCACGCGGGAGCAGGGATGGCCCTTCTGAGCAGCTTTGGTTCCACACGTCAGATCTCTAATCTCTGATCTCGGCCTTTCAGGGATTAGCACAGCCCTGGCTGCCAGCCCTGCATGAGTGCCGGCTCCAGCAGAAATGAGAGCAAAGCACCGTCCCAAAGAGTTGAAGCCAAATCCCAGTGCTTCTAAGAGGGATCACTGGGAAACCCAGGTGAACTGGGTGCCCATCACAACGCCCTCCTGGTGGTGAGCCGTGTTTGCTGCTCCTGAAAACATCCAGGCAGCTTTGATGCTCAACGTTTAGGGAACGGCTCTGCCCTGAGCTGCTGGAGCCCTGGGACACTGCCCTGAGCCATTGGGGCAGCCCTGAGCCCCCGTCCTCCCCCAGCACCCATCCCCATCCCTCACACCTCCCCCCGAGGTCTCACCTGCCCGGTTCCTGCAGCTCCACACAGCCTGCCCTGCCCACAGGCTGCACGGATTGGGGGCAGCCGCCACTCCTGGCCCTGCGGTGGCCCCGAGGGATCCCAGGCCACACTCGGTGGGCACCCACTCAGCCCAGAGCCGCCATGGCCATGCTGGGCCTCCGCGTGCGTCAGCTCCTCCTCTGCCGGCCCTGGTGCGGGTGGCTTCGGCCCAAAATCTGCTTCTGGGAAGTTGGTCAGAGCTCTGGCTCTGTCATAAGGGAAGTACCCTGCAGGGAAGCAGCACGATGGGATTTATGTGGCACAGCCAGCCTTGTGCCCGCAGCCCCTCCTGCTGCTCAGGACAGGAGCGCAGACCCAGAGCGCTCAGCTCAGTGCTCATGGAGAACAACTGCTGTTCCTCGGGAGAAAGCTTACTGTGTCCAATTTATTGCTTTGTTTTTAAACAAACCAAATCCTTCCCACTTTTGTTCTCCAAGTCTTTCCTTTCAGCCCACAGCCACCACTGCCTTTTCTATGGCATCTACACTGCCACCAGCACTGGCCGCAGGATTTGCCCCTTTCTCCTGCACAGGTATGGGGCTATTGGCCAGCATTTAGGCTTGTAATCTGCCCTTAATTATAAGATAAATGACATATGTTGTACGTAATGTTGTAGGGTACGTACACTCTGTGCAACAGCACTATCAGCTGCAGTCCAGGCTAACGGCACCCTCAATTAAATTGATTTTCCAACCCAGCATGCCAGTTTTAAAGCAAGGTTATCTTAATGTTTCCTATGTTTCCATTGAAAGTATTGCATCCCTGCTTTTCTTCTTCAGCTGGCAAACCAGTTATTGCATTGACAGGAAAAGGAGTCACAGAATGGCTTGGGTTGGAAAGATCATCCAGTTCCAACCCTCTACCATGGGCAGGGTTGCCAAAAATGAAATCCCTCTGTACACAAGGAACCTCTAAGCAGCTCCTGACCAGCCTGTGCCATATCCACATCCACATCCACATCCACATCCACATCCCCTCAACAATGCCTGCATGGCCACCCTGAGCCTCAGCACAACCACATCCCCAACAACTGTGCCCAACAGCATTCCAGGAAAAACTCAACATGGGACTCAGAGGGTGGGACCCAGCAATATCCTTTGTTCCCACCAACAAGTTACTGAAGATCCCAGTCCTTTGGGTGCTGAGCTTGCTGAAGGCCACATTTGCAGCACAGCCGGAGGCTCTCTGGCCACAGCTGTGCAGAATATTGTGCCTAAGGAAGGCAGGCAGTGTTGAGCAAAGCTTGCAGTGGAGGTTTGAGGAATGGAGGCACACGGTGCTTCTCATGGCTGTGTTCCCAGCACGTCACCAGTGAGCAGGAGACTGAGCTCCCAGCTACAGACAGTGGTGGGGTTGGGAGGGATGAGAACAATGGCAAAGAGTAATGACAGACATCAACCAGGTCGACTGGTTTGTTGGGTCCCATCAAACCACTCAGCCCAAGGAAATGCAAATGGGAACATCCAGGAACAAAGCCAGGGAACAACAACCAACGCTGCCTGCTGGAGTCCTGGCCCTGCAGAACACGGCTGGGAGGAGCAGGAAGGGCAGAAGTTTGCAGGAAGCTACAAAAGACACAAAGTTCCAGCAGCTAAAGGGTCCCTCAGTGCCACATCTCCCCATTCTTGAACACCTCCAGGGACGGTGACTCCAGCACTGCCTGAGCAGCCTGTGCCGATGCGTTATCGCTCTTCTCAACCTGAACCTCCCCTGCAGCGACTTGAGGCCATTTATCTCCATCCCAGCAAAGACATCCTGAGGTCTAAACTTCTCTGCCCCCCACCAGACGCCAACACACACGCACTCGTTGGCTGAGGCTTTGCCCCGAGCTCTGCAGGTATCTGAGCTCGCAGGTAATGTGGAGCTGTACCAACAACATCCCCCAGGAGCCACTGCAGGCAGCACAGACCTCACTGGTGACCAAACCCCTACAGCTTCGGGCACTTTGGGCTCTGCTCACCTGGGTGCTCGGGGAGGAAGGGCTGCAGGCCGTGCTGCGTCCCACTGAAGTCCTCAATGAACCTCGGCTTGCACAGCGGCGCCAGCACGGAGCGAGGGCTCCTCCGGATGTGTGGGTCTGTCAGCAGGCGGTACGTGGTTTTGCCATAGGTCTCTCCAAACTGGTAGTTGTACTGAGGGAGGAAGCCCTCATAGCTGGAAAGGGAACAGAGACACAGAGCGTGCGGGTGCCCATGTGGAGCTGTGCACGGGGCAGAGCGTTGCTGTGCTTGGGGATCTCCCAGTGTCCCTGAAACCCAAGTACAGGAGAAACACCAGTGATAGCACCCCATCAATGATCCCTGCATATCCAGGGCTTGGAAAGAACCTCAAAGATAAAGGCGGATGATGCACGAGGATCATGAGGCCGTGAGTGAGCACTTCCCTCCCAGCTGCTTTCAACAGCTGCCAGCAGAGCCATTCGTTACACTTGGCACATCTGCAGTGCCTGCAGGACCTTTGCTGGAGCTGGAGGAGCACGGTGGCTTCTTCCCATTGGTTTTCAATACTTCTTGCAACACCAGGAAGCTGTGCAGGATGATAAATCTGAGCAGATGACGTAGCCCAAATAATTACAGGCCAGGCAGAGGACCTCTGGTCGTGAACAAAGTAATGGCAGGGCTGAGAAAGCGTTCTGTTTATGAGCAGGTAAAAGCAGGGAGATCAGAGGAGCTCAGGTCTGGGCTTACAGAGAACACAGATCTGCCACAAAGTGAATCACACTGATACGAGCTGCGGTGCTCTGGGGAGGGATCAGCACTGCAGGCTGAGCTTCTTTGTTGGTGTTCTCATTAATAAACCAGAGAAATCCCCCAGTTCTGCAGGTCACATCGCAGCCATTGATCTAAAAACCCACCCCTGAGCAGCCGCCTCCATCCCTGGGTCACAGAGCAGGGAGCAGCCCTGGCCCCACTCCAGCACTGCAGGACGGGACAGGATGGGACAGGCAGTGCCAGTGCCCAGCATAGGAGCCCTTCCCCAAATTCCTAATGCTGCATTTGATTTCCCAATGCCTTCAAGCACCTTTGGGTCATTGCCACCACTGCAGCAGCAGGCCCTGCAACCTCCATGCCATCAGTACTGCTGTCCTCGGAGGGCTCACGCTACCCTGACCCCAATGGCCTCACATCTGCAGAGCTCTGCTCCTGTTTGTCCTCCAGGACTGGGAGCACAGAGCCCAACCACGTCACCACCAGCCCCACACATCTCTGCCCACTGCAAAGCCTACATACGTACATACATACAAGCTCATTTCTGCCTTCTCAACCAGGAACTCACTGATGGCAGCATCTTCTCACCAACCCCAGCCCTGTTCCATCCAAAAGCCATCAGAGAGCAGCGCAGAAAGCCTTTCAGGAAGCCCAGCTGCGTACCAATGAGATCCCCATCACCCACAGCCACCAACACTGATCTGTCAGCTCACTGACCCTGCGTTGTGTTCACACAAACATTTACTCAAAGGAGATCTTCAGATATCCTCAATGCAAAAATTATTTCCGTTTTGAACCCAAACCCCGGAGAGCAGCACCAGCAAATTTTCTCTGCTTGTTTTAAATTGATGAAAGCACAGTTGTGAAGCTCCCCTCGATGCCCTACAGCATAATTACAGCCTGCTGCACGGAGCTGCTTGTCCCCCCAGAGCCATGTCCCTTCATTATGTTTAGGAGTGCCTTTAAAAACAAAACAAAACACCCAGGATTCACAGGTACTGTTTTGTCCCAACCTGAGCTATTTGCTGGAAATGAACTGACTTTGTGGGTAAACTCCAGCACTTACCCAGGGATGTGGTGCGGATGGGGAGGGAAAAGCACACTCTGCCTGGGGGCTGCCATGGCACAGCAGAGCTCCGGGGTGGGATGAGGGCATTCCCAGCAGTTACCTGGGAAACCTCTGTGATGCTGCAGGCACTGCGGGTCTTTGGGTCCTCCTGGTTTAATGAGGACACCCCGCACTGAACGCAGCACTGAGCAGGATGCTGGATGCTCCAGGTCCCCACGGAGCCCCGTCCCATCTGTGACCTCGGGACGCAGCAGCTGCACAGCACTGCTCTGCTCATTCCAACCCAGGGCACAGACACAGCTCCTGATGGCTCCCACACCCACAGCGACTGCCCTAAGTTAAAAAATAAAAGTAGAACTTCTCTTTTGTCAAGGTTATCGTTAGGATTTATTGATACGAGAGAAACTCCGTATGTCAGTGCGTCAGCGGAGGAACTGATGTTACAGAGGGACAGGTGGTGTCACAGCATTCCAGAACCTCAGAAACACACACAGCACACACAGTACATTTTCTGGGGTGGGATGGAAACACTCCAGGAGAAGCACGGGGTGCCCTGCCAGCACAGCACTGTGCACGCAGCCACGCCGGGTGCAGGTTTCCCTGTCAGTCCAACAGCCCAGCCATTCTCTTAGCAGAAGCACTCTGGCATTCCCTCTGCAGCTGTGCCCTTGCAGGGCTGGCAGTGCAGCACACGTTGCATCTGGCCAAGGTGGGAGTTACCCTCCATCTTTATTGGAAACGCACTGGACTGGATGCTGCTTTTCAGAAGTGCTGAACTCGCACCTTCTCCCAGTTTATGAAGCGTTCCGTTTGGTCCTTAAGATCCGGCTAAACAACGACAGAGGGAACGGCAGAGTGTCCCCAAACCTGACAAACCCACAACAGATTTAGTGTAGAAACAAGCGAAATCCTGCAACCCTTCAGAGCCCTGCGAAATCCCCCAGAGAGAACCAAGCACTGGAGAAACAGCTGAAAACCAACCCCGGTTTGATGAGAAGCTGCCACGCGCTGCGCAGGGAGCAGCCAAAGCCAAGGGAGCTCATCCTGAGCACAGCTGGGGGTCTGTGCCCCACAGATGACAGCCAGCTCCATCCCGCGGGCCGCAGGGCTCCAGCCTGCTGTCAGCACCAACAAACAGGGCTGTGAGGAAGGGCCAGAAACCTCTCAGCAGGTGTGTGCACACGTGGAGCGGGGCTGGAGCTGCTCTGCCCCTTTTCCTCCCCCGTGAGCTGTGACATCGAGGGTTCTGCTCTCAGCCATTGGCTTTCACCAAATCTAAGTTCCCTCTGCACGTGTAACAGCGTCGACTTAGAGATCTCATATTAATGGGTACTTATACAGGATTAATTGCACATCAGTCCATTGTGGCTACAAGTTCATTAGGCTAATGAATCTACATAGTGACAGTAGTACAGTATCAGCTACTTTTCAATACAAACTCCCTACCCTAGCCTTAATTTGCAGGTCAGAAGATCACAGTGACCTTCCTATGACCTTTAACATTCATTTTTTTAATTTTTTTTTTTTTTCTAGAAAAAAAAAAATCCAGTGTGGGGAAAAAAAACGCACATATGTAACCAAAGCAGTGCTTAACAACCACAGGACAAAAGAACATTGCTCTTGGGCTCTTCTACCAGCATCCTCTGCAGACCCCGATAGCGCCGCTCCCGAAGGGTTGCTAATCCAGCTCTGTCAGCCCTCAGGTCCCTAAACGTTTCCTAGCTCTGTCAGCCATAGTTTCTCACTACATATTATTGTCTGCAGCAAGAGCCTACAGAAACACTTGCTAATGTGCACAAGACTTCCATTTGACTGAATGGAACAGTTTGAGAAGACTGAAGTCTTTACTTCTAGAATCTGTCCTGGCCTCCCGGCAGCTTCCATTCCAACCAGGAGAACCACAGCCCAGCAAAGTGGGATGCATTCATTTTCCCAAAGGCGTACGGGCGTCGACTAAAACCCCTCTCACAGTATTCCCAGGAAATGATTCAGAAGAGGAGATGATTTTTCAACCACACGAGATCCTCTGGTCCTGCACCTGTCAGCCCATGGCCAATAGAACCAGCAGCTGCCATGGACGTCTCCATTTCAGTACGGAACAGTCAAGGGAGCAGAGCAGGGTGCCCTGGCTGCCCCCCAGGACACGCAGTCACTCTGTTCCCATCAGTCTGTCTCTTTTGCTGGAGTCAAATGTTTGATTCCATTTGTTCTAGCAGGAAGTGGTGAATCATGTCGAAAGTGGGACGATCTTTTATGTCCCTGCTCCAGCATTTCAGCATCAGGTCAAACACGGGGTTAGGACATAGAGGAGTTTGGGACAGATAGATCTGAAACGAAAAACAAAACGCAGAGCAAATTGAGTGCTGGGTCCTTAACAGGATGGAACCTTGACTAAGTTCAGACCACAGGACAGCTTCAGCCCAGACGAGACAGCAGTCATGCAATACTGGAGATCCATCCAAGGTGAGAACAGCAGTGAAGTGTGGATGGAACTGTGACACCAGCCGGCACAGCCCTGCAGAGCACTGCCAGCTCGTGCCATGAGCTGCTCACAGAGCTGCCCGCTGCCCAGGGAAGCACAAATGCTCCAGGAGGATCGGATGGGCACAAAACACAAACCAAAACCAATGCACCACAATGAAATCCAAATACTTCCACTCACCGCAGACAACCCATGAGGCTTTCTAAGCATCGTGACAGCTTGTTAGCAGAGAAGAAAAAACACCTTTTAGAGCTTATCTAAAGTACAGGTTGGCAGACTTATTTATAATCTTTCCTCCATTTCAATACAGTGACCTTTTAGACTCTTCACCTAAGTCATTAATATCTGGGAGACAACAAATAAAACCTTGCATTATTTTACTTCCCTTTAATCCCTCAGCTTTCGGTACTCAATGTGAGTTTTGGGAGAACAAGCAACTGTACATCAACTCTGTTGGAGCACAGCCACCCTTGGAGGTGCTCATATGCTCTATTTACCACCCTCACTGATCCATCTATTGAAGGACACAAGGGCAGCAGCAGTGGGCTGAACAGTCCTGCCTGGAACCAGACGATAATGACATAGAGAAGCCCTTCAGCAGTTAGAGCTCAGCATGGATGGAGATATGGAGGTGTATTCTAACCCTTGCACACTAACAGCTCCTCCCTCCCCACCTCTGTAAGTGTCTCTTTGTCTTTCAGAGGAAACACAAATGGGAGAAAGATCTGACAAAGTCTGAGAGCAAAAAAGTTGTGCAGGAGAGCTCAGAAAAGCTAAGGAGGTCAGGGCATCAAAGGCAGCCTGGAACACAAGTGATTTATGACATGGAAGAAGCTGGACAGGCCAGGAGGTTCTTCCAGCGGGACACCAGGAGGGGAAAGGCAGTCCCATGGGCTGCACGAAGGGCAGGAGAGGCTGGACACGCTTGATAAGACGAGCAATAGAAGCAAGAACTTCTGCAGATGATGTGAGAGCAGCAGGAAGGCCCTGGGAGATCCACTTGGCTGTGACAGGGACAAGAGAAGAAAGGAAAGGTCGCATTTGCTTTCTTACCTGCCTGCCCTGGCTCCTGAAGAACTCCCCCGTGTTCTCAATGACTTGCTCATCTGAGAGGAGGCTGTAAGGCTGCTCCTTGCACAGTATGAACATCTCCCACAGGGTGACCCCGAACGCCCAGACATCGCTGGCTGTGGTGAACTTGCCCTGTGAACACAAAGTCAGTCCTGTCTGCACACAGCACTCATCTGGCAAAAAACCATTTCCGTCTGTTCTCTCTAATCACAGGGATCCACACCTGGGAAAGCACTCTGCACAGACAGCAGGGCAGCCAACGTGCTCTAAGCAATGCACAAAGGGGCTGAAGCACAACACTGCTGCTTTGCAGGGCAACAACAGCACATCTCTGTGGACTCACAGGACAGCTTTAGGGAGGTGAATCTCTCACTGGGGCAAAACTCTTGAAACAGGGAGCGAGCCTCAGGGAAAGGAGTCTGCCATTTCTCCTGCTGACATCTGCATTTGCCTCCAGCTGTAGCAAAACACTGTGTGCTGGGGCAGGGAGGTGATAGCTGCCACCCACTGCCACCCATAGCACAGCACTGCAGCACAGAAAAGCCTCTGAACAGGAAGCAAAGCCCTAGGGGTGAAGGCAGAGCCAGAGCTGACTCTTAGGCCAGGATAATTCTGATCTTTGCACATGTGTAAATTGGTGACAGTCTGCTCCCTGTCCCTGCTTTCTGTCTTTAAAAACAAAAAGTGCCCAAACTGGATTTGTTTGGAACAATATGTTTCTGAAGAAGCAAAAAGAAGCCAAAGACTACTCACAAAAATCATACACAACAATTGGGGCTGGAGGGCAGCTTTGTCAGCAAGCAGCCAAGATTGCCCAGGCTTAGCCAGCAACCCCAGCAGCCTGCAAACGTTTGGAAGGTATTCACACAAGGAAGGAGGGAAGTGTCTTACAGTTTAGATGAAGCTGCAGCCAGAAGGAGAAGGTAAACTTAAAAAAGCTTGGGGCCATCAGCCTTTATGGCAGCCATAACTACAATTCTCCTGTGTACTCAGAGGGGGTGCTGTAAGAAAGTGTAACTGCATGATCAGGGTTAAGCTAGTGTGAACTAGCTTGAGAAAGAGATTGGGCTGATTATTGAGGAACTTCCCCTAGAATGGATGTGCTCAGGCTGTTACACAGTCTCCTGAAGGCAGCCAGCAGGACAAAATCAACACAAAATCAATGCCCAGCCTCAAGCAGCAGAGGCTCATCAGGTTTCATTCCTGCCTCTCTGGGCTTCAGAGCTGGGGAAGCAGCACAGAACAGCAACCTGCCTGCGATTGCAGCAGGAATCCTGAATGCCAGGCACAGAGCAGCACAGATCATCTGGAGCCTAAGTGCTGTATTTGCAAGGACAACCCTCCTTCCCAGCCCAACACAACCTCACAGACATCTCACCAGGCCATCTGCAGCCACCTGTGAAGACTGTCCTAAGTCCACTCGCTAACTGAGGGCACACAGAGAACCAGAGGGAGGGAGATGGGGCGCTTTCAGGCAGTGCCTACCAGGAGGATGCTTTC